CATCAGGCAAGTTTTCAAAGAGAAAATATGCCCATACAAGGAAAGAGGTCATTCAGTTTGGGAATGTGTCCTTGGTGAGATATACACAGGATTATTTTCCTAATCATTGTGTAGCAGTTCAATTTGGCACAAAGATCATGGACTTTGGAGTCAGAGAGATGTGGCTTTAACTGACTCTGAACTGGGCTGTCATTCAAGGTGGCAGGTCTTAGATGGTGATACGGGGAGCGTGTTTTAGGGCTGAAGCCAGTCAGCATGGCAGAGATCCTCCTGCAGATTGACTAGTAGGGTGCCTGACCTGTAGGCCCTACTGGCCTGTAGGCATTTTCCTTTCTACCCTTTCATTTTCATAACTGGACTTCCCAGTGGCTCAGTTGGTAAAGAATCTGCCTGTGATGTGGGAGACCTGGGTTCGATCCCTGGGTTGGAAAGATTCCCTGGAGGAGGACATGGCAACCCACTCCAGTATTCTTCCTTGGGAAATCCCATAGACAGAGGAGCCTGGCAGGCTACACTCCATAGGGTGGCAAAGAGTTAGACACAACTGAGTGACTAACACTTTCACTTTTCACAGGTTCTAATAAAGATTATGTGTGCATGCTGAAGAAAAAAGGAGAGTCTTAATTCTATCTCTTAGAGCTATTACTAATGGGGTTAAAACCATATGTGGAAGCTTGAATTCCATACCATTAAGACTCTCTCTTTTAGAGACAAACATTTTTTAGCCATCAAAACTCATTCCAAAATAGACATGAGAGACAAGTTCCCTAAAGCAAGAAAAAAAATAGTAAGTTTTGTTAGATGATTTGATTGAGCCTGTATTCTTATGTAATACTAGACTATCACAGAATAATTATATTACCTGTGATAAGACACCCAATGTCGCATGCTGGGGACCATAGTGAAACAGGCTATTACTCCTAGAGTATAAAGTATTAAGTTAGATCTCAGCAATAAAACTGACTCATAAAACTTTATAGGTAACCAGTGATATGTCCAAAGCCAAGGTCAAGATAAAACAAACCACCAGATAAAATACAGATGCACCATTTGCTTTCTAAATTTCTTAGGGCTAGCAATTCAAGATATTTTGGAATTTAGAAAAGTAGTATTGTGCATGTACTGAATACTATGTAATATTTCCAGTAAGCTCTGGAGCAACAGGTGGTCATTAAACATGAAGTGTGTGGGTTTTCACACTAAGTGGGATAAATGAAAAACATCCATAACTTCACCTCATCGAGGGTCAAATTTTGTTCTCATGCTAGTTACCAAAATTTTCAATATTTGGAAGCCTCTTGACTTTGGAATTATGGCTACGGGATTGTGCATTTTCAACACAAGCCTTAAAACACTCTGTTTTTGAGGAGGAGTTACTAATGTGGGACAATGATTATAACATAAAACAGTATTATTGAATGAATAACTGAAAACAATACAAGTTTTAAAAGTAGACTAGCTGAAATTTCCAAATATTACACAAGACATAGAACAATGAGAAGGATTGGTAAAAAAACACGATTATTTCTGGGTCCTAGGATAATTGGTGATTTTTGTTTTCCTCTTGGTACATTTGTATATTTTCTGAAATTTCCAAGGGAACTAGGAATCATTTTAAGGGTGATCAAAGTGAGTTTACTCAGCTCATTTCAAAGGGGACACATTGGGGGTGCTTATTCCCTCATCAGTCCCTGATCTGAATGTCTGAGTTCCCAAAGGAGCTGGGCCAGGGAGGGCATTTTCTTACTGGAAAGTCCTAGAAGCGATCACTCTAATGGTCTCTTCCAGAACACCCAGAGCCGCAGCACCAGTTCTTATCTGTTCTGTCCAGGATGACGGAGAGATACTGGAAACCAAATCGAAACTCCTGTGTCCAGCCCCAAGGGTGTCACGAGGAGCGGGCCGGTGTGGTCAGTTCCTCTAACTCCTCCGGTTTGCTCCAAGGAACGAGGCTTTACGTAGCTTGATTGATAACTAAGGAGGCCAGTTGCAGAGACAGTAAATGTAGAATAGCTTGCTGATTTCAGCAGCAATTTTGAATCAGGACAGTTGGACTCTGTAGCATTTGTGGAGCTTTCCCATCACTTTCAACCTAATACTAAGATGCTTTGCTTAATGTACGGCTAATGCTCTTGCGGGCAGGGGCTAGACCTTATTCATCTTCATAAGGGAGGTGCCTAGCTCAGTGCCCAGCATAGTGTATACTATTCAGTAAATTTTTTTTTAACTTTTAACTTTATACTGGAGTATAGCCGATTAGCAATGTTGTGATAGTTTCAGGTGAGCAGTGAAGTGACTCAGTCATAGATACACATGTAACCTCTCTCCCACAAACTACTCATCCAAACTGCCACCCAGCACTGATTGGAGTTCCCTGTGCCAAATAGCAGATTGCCCATTTTAAATACAGCAGAGTGTACATGTCCCTCCCAAAGGAACCTCATGTTAAATAGCAGAATAGCAATATGAAGCTTAAATTTACCATCTCAACCATTTTAAGTATACTGCCCAGTTGTGGTAAGTATATTCACGTTATTGTGCAACCGAACTTCACATTTTCACTTTATTTTGCCAAAGGAAACTCTATATACATTAAACAGCTACATATTTGCCCTGCCCCAGTCACTGGCAATGGCCGTTCTACCTTCTACAAGGAGCTCAGCCCAGTGTCCTATGACAACCTGGGGTGGGGGAATGGTGGGGAAGATGGGAGAAGGGTTCAGGAGGGAGGGGCATATGTATACCTGTGGCTGACTCGTGTTGATGTGTGGCAGAGGCCGACACAATATTGTAGAGCAGTTGTCCTCCAATAATTGTATTTTGTTCTATACTTCTCAAAAACAAATGAGCCAAAAAAATAAACTCACTGAAGGAATTTTAAAAAAGGGAAAGAAACTGACACTAGATGGATAATGTTTGAAGAGATTATGTTAAGTGAAATAAGCAATAAAAAGCAAGTACAGTAAATGCTTTTGACCCAGATGATATATTTGAAGGGGAAAACGTGTGCATATATTTGCACTGTGTGTACCCATATGTGTGTGCAGGTGCATAAATATATAATCTGTTTCTATATCATCCTTTCATTTATGTTTATTCATTCTTTCTCTGTAAAAATGCCCAGTGGATCAGAGTAAATAGCCGTAGTTACAAAGGCCATTTAGAATTTCACGTTATCAAATCAGAATTCTAGATTATGGAACTGTAAGATATCTTAGACCAGAATTTTGCAAGCTTAGCTGCAGGTTAGACTCAGCTGTGCATTAAAGAACAGCTCACTGTTCAGGTATTCTGATTTCTTTGGTCTGGGGAAAGTCACTGAAATTTTGTTTGGAGCTTCCTTGATGATTCTAATGGTCAGTCAGATTTAAAATCTACTGCCTTGAACTAACTGGGTTAATGATTTTCACAGAGGAAGGCGTGCTCCCTCCAAGGTGTAGCAGAACAAAATCTTGTGTGTATGTACAATGCATATATTTGTGTGTGTGTGTGTGTGTGTGTGTGTGTGTGTGTGGAGGGGGAGAGAAGAGAATTTCCATTTTACACTCATGTAACATCTGATACGTAACTGCCTTCCCTGAGTTGACGAATATTGGAGATGCTTCTGCAGGGTACTGCAATGGAGACAGTGCTGTGAACCATCTCTCTACAGTCAGATGCTGCTGAGACTTTAACGAGGCTCTACAAATCAACTGGGGATCCTGCGGAAGTACAGATGCAGATTCACCATCCTCAGAGGAGAAAACTCATGCTTATGAAGTTATGACGATTTGATTTGTTTTCTGGTCTGTGTATTGGCAGCTTCACATCCTATATGGCTCTAGAGCTGAACTCAAAAAACTACCCTTCGGGAAGGTTGGTGAGAGCAACTGCCGAGGGACCAAGATCTGGCTAAAAACAAAGCCACCTCAAGTCATGAAATGAAGATAGCTCTCCTATTGTGGAAGGAGACTCGGCACAGGGCAGAACTGCAGAGAGAAACAGAAGCAAGAACTAAAGGGGAGGGATTCACGACCTCCAAGCCAGATAGAAATGGGTAGCAAATATTGCTGAGACTGTCACAGTAACCCCACTTTGCCCCCCAAACAGGGGCCTAAGTCTCTTGTTGGGCTGTGTTTCTGTGTCACCCTGATGTCAACCACGTGCCCAGCGCCCACCTGTGATACCTAGGCATCACCTGGTTACCATGGGCTACCCCTGGGCAGTCTTCCTCCCCAGGCCAGATCCTTCTTCCCAGAGGAAGGGTTAGCATCCAGGGAGTTATTAACAGATGAAACTTCCTGAATATTGTGTAGCTATAAAACAGCGGGCGAGGCGAGGGGTTGATACCAGGTCTGCCTGACTCTGTCATCCTTGCTGCTTCTCACACAACGACTGCTCTTTTCACACAGAGGAGAAAACCAGTGCTGTCTCTCCAAACGGCAAAATAAAGCCCATAAATATACAAGTAGGTTGTGCTTAAAATCAGGGCACCCAATTTTCTCAATTTAAAGGCCTTTTGTTTTTCATCAAAAATATTTCTTACACTTTGGAGGCCTGCTGTCTTTTTTACTATACTCACAGACGTCCGAAATGGGAGGAATTTTTGCTGATTCAGATACACATTTAGACAGTATCCTAAACCAGCCGCAGCGCCCGCCCTGGGTGTTCCGCAGACAGAAAGTTGGATTCCAGGCTCTCTGCTGTGGGAATAAGTGTGCGCACTGCTGTTCTCTCAATTCTCATTTCACACCCTGGTGGGAGGTGGATGGGTGGTATTTCTGGGTGCCCTCCTGGCATCCCGATGCTGGGTATCTAGTCTCTGCCTGACCCCACATCCCCGACTGTGCTGGGGGAGAAGAAGGAACCTCCTGCAGAAATCACTGAGCACCCACACATCCTCAAACTGGCCTTTCCACCTGGGCACACTGCATCCTCCCCGTGACTCTCCTCCAGCACCCTACTCCCGCCCCACGCAGGAGACGCGAGATGCGCGCTCATGGCGACCTCGCGATACTTACGGTCTGTTCATCTTTCTTGGCACCCGGCAAAGGAGAGGGATCTTCAACTCAGCCTGTGGAAACAAAAGCAAGCTCATTACTGGGCCTTCCCCATCATGTTCTAATTCTAGTGAACAGGCTCCTGTCGCTTCCTGTTAAAACGGGATACAGGTGGCAGCTTAGAGGAAACGACAGAGAGAGAATCAATCCAGGTTGATAATTGGTTTATTTCAGGAGGGGATGGGGGAGAGGACGTCTTCCCTGACATGCTGTCCTCTTTCTGTCAGCATTCATCCAATCTGCCCCCCGGGGAGCTGGGCAAACCTATCCCGAGCAAGCCTCGTTTTCCCTGAAGTGCCATTGCGTGCTTCCCCTGGGCACCCAGGGCGCATTAGCCGGAGCTCTGCTCTGGGGAGCCCATGTGCGTGCAGAAAAAGGATGCTTTTCCTTTCAGAGTGTGACTTCGCCATGAAATATTTATTGGGAGTTGCATTTACATTTATATACTGCTTCACATAGGACACCACATTTTATTTGTGGCTTATATTTTCTTGCATTGGAGAGATCATTAGTCCCACTTACCACATAAATCAGCAGCAGAGACCCTGAGAGTATTCAGTAAGGACTTTACATCCATGATCCCCATTTAGCTGCACAGAGATGCTGGGAGATAGAAAGGATATTACCCATGGGATCAGTTGGGGTTCCAGCAAGAAACAGATGGCACCCTCAAATTGGGTAATTTGAGAACAGTTTAATAAAGAGACGGTTTAAAAGTTGTGGGCAGGGTGTAGGGGATCCCTAAGGACCATGAAGGACCTGAGGGGCTGAGACTGTGTGTGTGCCAAGAAGGGTCAAGGGCGCCAGTGGTCTTGGAGATCCAGAAGTGGGACTGATGGGAAAAGAGCTGTTTCACGTGAGGGACTCGCAGGGATTGAGCTGTGGTGGGTGGAATAAAAATCTACATCTCATGGGTCTCCTGCCCTGAATCCCTTCCACTGACCAAACTTAACAGGAAGCCAAGTGTGAGGAACCATTGGTATGACTTCTATCCATCAGCCTCCTGGGGCTCCCAGCTAGTGCAGTGGGTTAGAGAGTGAATTTCATTCTTAAAGAGAATGAGATCCTTGGAGGTTAAATTATGCACCCAAGATCACCCATCTGCAATAAGAGCCCAGATCTGTAGGACTTAAGCATTCCATTTCCTAGCAATTCAACCATATTGCCCACTGAGTTTAGGTATTCCTAGATCATTCTGCCACCCATGTGTTCGTCTATCCATCCACCCATCCATTCATTCATCTAACCAATAGCCATTTACTGAAAACTAACTTTATTCAAATATTGTGCCTTCCCTCCAGGCATGCCTGAAACTCACTATAAGGTAGATTCTACACTCCCCCTATGATGGTTGTTAGCAAAGTGTTTTATAAAAACAGATGTGGATAAAACAGAATGAATCCCGACTCTTTCTTGGACAGCCCAGGGGATCTTCATAAAGGAGATCATATTTGATCTGGATCTTGCAGATTAAGTCAGCATCTTCTTGACTTACGGAAGTTGTTCTGGGTAAATGGGATGCCATGTGCAAAGGTGGGAAGATGTTAGAATATATAGTGTGACACAGAGACTTTGCACGGCTTGATGGGATCACAGAGGCCAGCAGCTTGGATGTTGATAGCGTGTGGAAAAGAACCTGGGAAGGTCTATTGGGTTTTGATTGTCAAGGACCATGCACGACAAAGGATGGGATTTGGATTTGAGTTGTGTGATCTTGGACCACTGACTTCACGAAAGTTACCAAAGAACTAGGACTAAACTCCAGTTCTCCGGATACCCTATGTTCAACCCCACAGAAAGCCTCACCTTGTGCTTCTAGGTCAACAAAAGACACAGGGAAAGGGGGGTTGGCCATTAGGCACTCTGGCCATTCTCTCTGGATGAGTGTGGAGTGTCACGGCCTCTTTGTAAGTTGTCTTGTCCAGTGAGGAAGAGGACTTCATCAATATAACACAAACAATGGACATAAATTGCTGGAAGAGTCCTGGACTGAAAACTGAGTTCCAGCGCATGACCTTGTAGGAGCACTTGGTCTCTCCTCCTTTATAAAACGGGAATGTCCATGTCATCCTTTTCCAGTATTAAGTGTGAAATAAACTGATGCCTCTGAAAATATCCTACAAACTATAAACATTATGGAAATGTGGACATGCATTCCTTTGCATAACTAAGTAAAGCTTGCAAGTTGTTTTAATGTTGGTCACATTATATTTGGATATGTATGGTTATGGACAGGCTTCCCTGGTAGCTCAACTGGTAAAGAATATGCCTGCAATTCAGGAGACCCTGGCTTGATTCCTGGGTTGGGAAGATCCCTGGAGAAGGGAGAGGCTACCCACTCCAGTATTCTTGGGCTTCCCTTGTGGCTCAGATGGTAAAGAATCTACCTGAAATGTGGGAGACCTGGGTTCAGTCCCTGGGTTGCCAAGATGCCCTGGAGGAGGGCATGGCAACCCACTCCAGTATTCTTGCCTGGAGAACCCCCATGGACAGAGGAGTCTGGCGGGATACAGTCCATGGGGTCGCAAAGCGTCAGACACGACTGAGTAACTAAGCACAGAGCATGGTTATGGACATTGATTTTTGGATATTAACATTTAGAGGAATTCAGTGACTTGATTACAGTAATGCAGGTCAAATTTGTAACCCCTTTCCCACTTTGGGAGCATTTATGATTTTGAATATCTTGCTTATAATATAGTGACTTCATTCCTTTGAGTGCATTAACCAGGAGTTCTAAGTTATGCTGAAATGAGTCAAAATAAGACTATCTTTGTGGAGGGTTACCTACCCCTGTGCCTAGCTTTTGGCCCAAGCTTATGTACAGTGTGAAGGAATCACAGGTACAGGGTATTTTCCTCCAAAGCTTATAACCTAGGATCAGAGGCCTTGGGGAGGTGGTCAGGAAAGCTCTTTTCCAACCATCCATGGTGTAGCCTTGAACAAAGCATTGGAATGTTATGGACCTCATTTTTTTTTTTTTTCATCAGAATAATGAAAATGTTGGGCCCAATAGGTCTCTTCCAGCTCAAAGATTCCTTTAAAAAATCCATTTAAAAACTGCAGTCCCTCCATACTTGGTGACAAAGAGTGGCTTAAAAAAGTTGGAAGTATGTTATTATGTTTCTCACATTTTATTGTCTTCTTTAATAGAGCTCCTTGCAGAGCAAAATTGCAGGAAGACTTTTGACAAAGTGCTAATACTTAGGGCATCAGTGGTGGACAGAGGAGTGGCTGGGGAAGGAATTCTTAGCTTTAGCTTTGTACCTAAACCTTTGAAAATTATGCAATCTGTAACATCAGTGCTTATTAGGTTTGTATTTTAAAATCTTAATAAAAGTTTGAAAGAGAGATTTTACTAGCGGCTTTTAAGAGATGTGAGCAATCTATTGTACAAAAAGAATTTTAAAATGTTATGAAGGGAGCCCAACTTATCTGGCATTTCAAAAGCAAAACTGGGGTCTTGCTGACCCATATCAGAGGATGAGTCAGTCAAGTGATGCTGTCCATAAGACAGAATGGATGGCACGCACTCTATGAGGCCCACAGTGCCTTGCTCTACTCAAAGAATGTCTAAGCCCCGTCTGAGAGCGCTGAAGTCTTACCTGATCTGAGTCATTTTTGTAAAGGATGTGGTGAGAATGGGATGTGGTGAGTCAGACAGAATTTCATGTCCATCAGTTTTACAAATGTCATCTATTAAAGACCATGCCCATCCTTTCCCAACATGCATTTTTCAAAAAATGGAATGAACATTGACCACCTACTATGTGTTCTTAGCTGCTGTCACAATAACCCCATATGATCTGTGTTATTGTCCTTATTTTATACAAAACCAAACCAAACATTCACAGGTGGTAGGTAGCCTGCTCTACAACATGGTTTTACAAACCATTGGCCTTCAAATGTTTTAGTTAGGTGTTGGGACACCTTGTCTACCTGCTCTGAGCCTCAGTTTGCCTATCTGTAAAATGGGGGTAACATAATAGCTGTCAGTAAGACTCTTGTCAGGAAGACATGAGAACAGAAGGGTAGCTAAGACATGGAGAAACGGTGATTCACATTAACTTGAACTTTTATAATTAAATGTCCTGTGTCACTTTTGGGTTTTAGTCTCCAGAAATAAGAAATGCTTACCTGCAAATCATGACCACCAGATGAGGGAGGTGTAAATCACGAATGCCAGATGAGGGAGGCATGGATTCTTTCTTGGGTTGGCCAAAAAGTTCATTTGGATTTTTCCGTAACGTGTTATGGAAACTGAACAAACTTTTTGGCCAACCCAATATATTGATGCCTCCAAAATTCTGAGTCAGCTCTACCGGACTAGAGTCCAGATATTGGTATTTTTTAAATGGCCCAGGCATGTTACCGGGCAGTGAGGCAGAGGAAGTGGATATAAGAACCTCAGTCCACTCGTTTTTGTCTGCTCAGCACCCACCACTCGCTAACACTTCTCACTCTTGCAGAAAGTACAATAACCACACTTGATTCTCCTAGCAGTCCTGCGTGTGTGCTCAGTCACTTCAGCCATGCCTAACTCTTTACAACCCCCTGGACTGTAGCCCACCAAGCTCCTCTGTCCATGGGATCCTCCGGGCAAGAATACTGGAGTGGGTTGCCATGCCCTCCTCCAGGGGATCTTCCCTGACCCAGGGATCAAACCTGGATCTCCTGCATTGTAGGCAGATTCTTTACCTCTGAGCCACAAGGGAAGCCCCCCCTAGCAGTCCTAAACTCACCCTAAAGGGAAACTCAGGGGCTCACCACTCAGCAAAAATCCTCTAAATGTTTAGAGTTATTTCTGAGTTAATTTTCAGTGAAATGTTAAAAGGAAATCTACTTCTATCTCAACATTTACAACACACGTCAGAGTGGTAAAGGCTGCCAGGCCACAACTTCTTGGTCACATCTTGTCTGTAGGCAAAGAGTAAGTAAGATCAAAGTCCACATGACTGTGCTATGCTTTAGTCGCCCAGTCGTGTCCGACTCTTTGCGACCCCATGGACTGTAG